GCAGCTGGAGGAGTGGGTATCCTGTAAGGATCTAAGTCTGTTCATCAATGTCAAGATTGCTTGGTGACAGAGCCTTTTCGTTTGAATCTGTCTAGGATTGGTGTTTTCAATTAAGGAAAAAAAATGTAGAGAAAGTCAACGGGCCAGGCAGCACCTGTGATGAGAAACAGAGCTGATGTTTCCATTTAGCAGAGTCCAGGTTATGAGCGCTCAGATTGACTTTCAGAATGTTTTGTGTCTAGATTTGGGAGTAATTGAGTAATCAATAATTCCTTTAAATCATATTATCGGGATGTATCCTACATGTGGTCATCTGTGTGAGCTGGAGACAGGGCGTTGCATGGAGTGTTCAGCTGCAAAATATGGAAGCACGGGTGTCAATTCATAGTTACACACTGATGACATGATTGTCCTATTCTGTAGATATTTTCTAATCAACCTGTTCAGAGATGTTATTACACACCTCTCTGGAACAGATGTGACTTGAATGCAAGCCTCCTGGCTCAGTGGTAGTGTTACTGCCTCTCCCGTACAAGAATTCTCCACCTGTTCTGTATGTTACTGGTGGATGTCTGCTATCTGCATAATAAAGCCTGTGCCAAAATGGCCTCCGTTAGGCTGTACACCCCAAGTGTAGATATTATTGTTGAGCTCTTAAAGATTTGCAGTGCCATTCTCATCCGTTTCCTTTCATGATTTTGTACCTATCTCCAGGCCTGGTAACCATTTGTGAAACAACTTATTTCTCACACAACATGAGGGAGATCGTGTGGTGTAGTGCGGCACAGTGGCTTAGCAGCTTGCTTTGCTGCCTCACAGACAGGGACCCGGGTTCGTTTCCACCCTCTGGTGACTGACTGTCTGTGTGGAGTTTGCACGTTCTTCCCGTGTCTGTGCGGGTTTCCGCTGCTCAGTCCAAAGATATGTAAGTTAGGTGGATTGGCCATGCTAAATTGCCGGTACTATCCAGGGGTGTGTAAATTTGGTGGATTAGACATGGGAAGTGCAGGGTTACAGGGAAAGGGTAGGGGGATGGATCTGGGCAGGATGCTGTTTGGTGGGTTGGTGTGGACTTGTTGTACCGAATGGCCTGTTTTCACACTGTAGCGATTCTATGATCTGGTGGTACTGCCCCTACCTCTGAGCCAGGAGGCCTAAGTTCAGGTTCCATCTGCTCTAGAGGCATGTTGTAACATTTCTGAGCGTGTTGATTAAAAATATCCTCTAACTCAGCATGAGGGGGATCTTGTGTTGCAGTGGTAGTGTTCCCTACCTCGGGACCAGGAGACCCAGTGTCAAATATAGATGTGATAACATAGGGTCTAGAGTTCGTGTTAGCTCCTGGGTTAATAATCCTGAGAACAAGTTCAAAGCCTGGTTCTTCCCTCCCCAACATAGTCATTTTGAGAATTTGAATTTGAAAAGGCTGGTGATGAGAAAAGTGTTCAAGAGCTGTTGGTTTGTCGTTAAAGCCCAACTGGTTCATTCTTGACCTTTAATGGAAGGAATCTTGCCATTAGGGCCAATGGGTACCATGTGGGAATCTGATCCCATGTCGTGGTCGACTCTTAACTGGCCTTTGATGTGATCTGGTTTGGTTGGATCAAATCTGAGGAACTGGGAATCCACACTAAATGTTGTCCTTGTCTGGAGAATGAATTAAATTCCAAGTGAGCCCAGAGCAGCAGTCGGAATAGATTTCATTTAATTCAGTCTGTTGTCATTCTTAAAAAGGGGGAAATGTTTTTGGTATTACCATTCTCGCAGGCTGATCCAAACTTCAAAATCTGACCACCTTCATTTCGAGCTCCCAGCATTGGGCTGAAGATCGTGCTTCACTTTACTTTGAAATCTCAGTTATATGTCTGTGCCTCCGATTTCCTGTTGATTATTGCCTAGATTCTGCCACCTTACCCATGCATCATTTTAAGAGAAAAGAACTCTACAAAGTGACTCTGCAGGCAAAACAATACCTAGTTCTGAACAATAACCATGTGGTACATTACCCAGTATTACACTTACTGCACCTATTGTTACCAGCCGTCTTGCCAAATGAACTAACTAACCCCCAATTTGATAAATAAAGCCTTTTAAAGTATGTATTAATCTCAGAATCCTTCGCAGACCTTTTCTATGACCTCTAACTTCCACCAAACTAGGGTACTGGGACTACATACAATATTCTAGACATTGTCTAATACAGTGATCCTGCTTATTGCAGTGGAACTTTGAAGACTCGTGCCCCTGGGTGACTTGCCCTTTTAACAAAGTTTAGATCCGAGCTCAGCCTGCTATACACCATTACAGTGTTAGCCCTATCCATGTACATTATTGTGCATTTATCTCTCTTGAATGCAAATTGCCAGATGTGGGGTCATACCTTCATTGCATGTGAATTCCATTGTAATTTTATTTTCTTTTTAAGGATACTGCCACTGACAGATCTTTGTGTCATCTGCAAACCTATGGACAAGTCCCATAATGCCTTCATCCAAAATGTTGGTGTAAATTGTGAAGTGCAATGGTGCTAGCACCATTCCTAACCTGTCTGCATAAGGAACATATTACCATTAATGATGACCCTTTGTCTCAACGTGTTGTCATTGAATTACTCAGAGCGCCTAAAGCAAGTGGGCTGTTCCAGAAAAGTTGGCAGAGAGAGATTGTGCAAAATGCTTTCGATCTGGGCTAATTTTAAAATAAGAAAATCACAGATCTCCATGTGTGTAACAAACAATCCACATCATACGCTTAACCAAAATTTAGAATATTGGAAATAACAAATTGCTGAATATTTGAAGCATATAGTTAATTACAGATTATTTGGTCCTTGATCAATTCCAGAATTTTTGAATGATCAATCTACGGCTAGAATACCTTAATATGGGACTTATTTCTAGAATATCTGCTCAGTGACTGATTTCAGCAATGCTTCCTGCTGAAGAAGGGAGAGCCAGTGGATGTGATTGATTTGGATTTCCAGATGGCCTTGATGAGGTGCCACACATGGTGTTAGGGGCAAGGTACTGGCATGAATAGGAGATAGGCTGACTGGCAGAAGGCAGAGAGTACGGATAAAGTGTCCTTTTCAGGATGGCAGCCAGTGACTAGTGGAGTTCCACAGGGGTCTGTGTTGGGTCCACAATGATTCACATTATGCATCAATGATCTGGACAAAGGAATGGAGGGCATTGTTGCTAAGTTTGCTTATGACATAAAGATAGTTGGAGGGATAGGTATTATTGAGGAAGCGGGGAGGCTGCGGAAGGACTTGCAGAGGATAGGAGAGTGTGCTAAAAAGTGGTAGATGGAATGCACTGAGAAAGTGAGGCGCCATACACTTTGGCAGGAAGAATAGAAGCACAAGCTTTTTTCTAAATGGGGAAGGCTTCAGAATTCTGAAACACAAAGGGATTTGGAAGAGTCCTAGTTAAGGATTCTCTTAAGGTTAACATGCAGGTTAACACCTCTTAGTCTGATAAACTCCAGTGGACACCAACCTAGTCAGTCCAACGTTTCTTTCTATGACAACTGTTCATAGTATTAATCGAGCGAAGTTTCTCTGAAATGCCTCCAATGCGTTTACGTCCTTCTTTAAAGATCAGTACTGTACACAGTACTTCACACATGGTCTGACTAGTGCCTCTACAACTGAAGTAAACCTCCCTATCTTTGTATTCAGTTCCCCTGTAATAAGTACAAACGTTCTATTAGTTTTCTTAATTACTTGCTGTACCTGTATGCTAATCTTCTGTGATTCTTACACCAGGATACCCAGATACCTCATAGATAATATGCGTTTTATCTTCCGTGCTAAAATGCGCAACCTCATGTTTTCCAGTATTTTACTTCATTTGCCAAACCTTTACCCATTTAACCCATCTACATCACTTCATAGCCTGCTTCTATCCCCTTTACAGCTTACTTTCTTACCTATATTTGTATCATCAGCAAACTTACCAATGATACCATCCACCCATTTATATAAATTATAAAAAAAACAAGTTGAAGCCTCAACAATGATTTCTTTGGCATACCATTCTAGAACATGAGTTATCTTACAGAAAACTCGGAATAATTCCTAGTTCCATAATATTTGAGGTACATCTCGGGTGATAGAACATTCTTCAAATGCCAGGCATAAACTAATTCCAAAGTTTCTAGAGATTGGGCTAAAGTCAGACAATCTGGGAGACTGAACCAGGAACCCAGATATATTAGATAGCTACCAAAGGATCTGTAGTTGTGTAGCATACTCCAGAATGCACTCCTACTGAACTCTGTCTATATCATCTGAATACTGTAGCATTACATATACTGAATATTTGTAGAGCCAAAATATGTAGTTATAGATAATTCTCTTGTAAATGCATAACAGATTAGAGTTTGATAATCCATCGTGCCAATATTCTGCCCAAGGTACTGTACCAGAATCTCTGCAGTAACTGGTTATGTTCTGAATATCTGTTGTCCCAGGATGTGTTCTGTACTGAATTATAATAGAGTATTCTTGTGTGAAAATATGTATTGGATCAGGTTATATGTGAAGATCTACAGTACCAGAATGTAGCCTGATATGCGTTTTTCCAGATTACACCTCGAATATTTAAAGTAACAGAATATAGATACTACCACATCGTTTACATGATCACTACAGGGTTCTTTAAGAATATTGAGTTGCCTGGCTATTCCCAGATTTCTGATGTGTTGTGATAATCCTGTATTTGAGTGATGTAGGTTTTTGCCCAGAATATCTAAGTTCTCCAAGCTGTTGGTCTTGCGCCTCAAATATCCCTCTAAGGTCAGAATAATGAATTTATTGAGCTAAACCCAAAATTCCCAAGGGACCACAGTTATCCTCCAATATTCGAGGCACTGGGCTTCCTGTGTGCATTTTAGATTGATCTGTATAGCAGAGTCTCGTGTCAGGTGTTTGTGTTCTGTTCAATCCTTGCGACCTGATTCTATTATGTAGGAATGAATGGCTTTGTGTTTTGTAGCCCATTGTTTGTAACATGGAAGATGGGCCGAGATAAACGTTTGCGAGGCTGCATTGGGACCTTCTCTGCCATGAACCTCCATTCAGGACTCAGGGAATACACGCTTACCAGGTAAGAACATTTAAACTCTCGGTAATGATTTAAAAAAATGAAAATGCCTTACTAATGTGAAATTGGGCTGCTTTGTTTTGTATTTGTATAACGTACGAGATGTATCAACATTGGTAGGCACTAGTGCTGAATGTTCTTTGTAATTTTATAACAGCTTGAATAATGGTTAGTTTCATGCATTGTGATATAAATGGAAATGTTGGAAGTCTGTGTATTTATTGAACCGCATACATTACAAAGTCTGCATTTCACCCCGTAATAGTCGGTAAGGTACTTGTTGGAGAGTATAAGGTAACCTATACGGTGGTTGGTACTGAGGGCAACCCGAGCACTTCTGCCTGGAACAGGTGACCAGACATTCTGCAGTTCTTGCTTGGTTGACCTGTGCTGCTGCTAGTGTATGGGGAGATGTAACCTGTATAGGTCCTGACTTAGAATAGTACACTATACAGGTCTCATCTCAAGGGCTGGGAGGAGGGAAACTACCACACTACTTGCTTTGGTGAAGTGGTGGGGTTAAGCTGAGAATGATTGATTGCGCTTTGTTCTTTTCTACTGAAAGAAACCAATTCCTAGAGTTTAATGAATGTTTGAGCCAATAACCACCGCCCTGTTAGTGTGGAATAATGTCCAAAAGACAAATTTAAGGACCATCCACCTGAATGTACACAGCATTCACAAAAGGTAGATTTAAAAGCACAAATAGAGGTAAATGGGTATATCTAATTGCTATGACAGAAATGTGGCTGCAGGGTGACCAAGACTGGGAACTGAATATTCAAGGATATTCACTGCTTAGGAATGGGGAAAAAAGAAAGGTACATTGCACTGCACTGAAAATAAGGGACAGGATTAGAACGTTAGTAAGGTCAGATCTGAAGAATAAAATGTGGAACCTGCTTGGGTGGAGCTAATAAACAACAAATGGCAGCAAGCATTGGTAGGAATTGTTTATAGGCCACCAAATGGTAGTGTGGGGCATGGTATTAATCAGGAGATTAGAGAAGTATGTAGCTTGGGTAAAACAGTAGTCAGGGATTGCTTTAATCTGCATTTAGACTGGGTAAGCGTAATGAGCACTAAAGCTTTAGAGGCTGAATTTCTGGAGTGCGTTAGTAACGGTTTTCCAGAATAGTATGTTGGAGACCTGTCAAGAGAAAAAGATATTTTAATTCTAATATTCTGTAATGCGAGAAGGCTTATTAGTAATCTAGTTGTGAAGGAGCCTTTTTAAGGATATGTGACCATAATATAATAGAATTTTGTGTTATGTTTGAAAGTGAGGTAGTTCAATCTGAAGTTAGTATCACAGAATCCCTACAGTGTAGTAACAGGCCATTCTGCCGGACAAGTCCATACGGACCCTCTGAAGAGCATCCCACCCAGATTCACCCCTTTACCCTTTCCCTGTAACCTCGCATTTCCCATGGCTAATGCACCTAACCTACACATCCTTGAACACTGGGCAATTTAGCATGGCCAATCCACCTAACCTACACATCTTTTCGACTGTGGGAGGAAATTGGAGCACCTGGCAGAAACTCACGCAGACACAGGGAGAATGTGCAAACGCAACACAGATAGATAGTTGCCCAAGGGTGGAATCGAACCTGGGTCCTGGTGCTGTGACACAGCAGTGCTAATCACTGCGTCACCCGACCGCCAGTTGTTGTTGAATTTGAGTTTATGAAGGTATGAGGAGCCAATAGGCTGAGGTGTATTTGAAAAAATACGTAAAAAGAGCTTATCCAAAAGTATTGGACAGTGTTTAAAGAATTATTGCGTTGTTTACAGCAATTATGCATTCCTTCAAGATGCAAAAAATACCCAAGAAGTTAATGAATTACAAAAGACATTATGGATTATATAAAACCACAAGGTTTCTAAAGTTGCCGGAAATAGTTTTAAACCTGAAGTTTGGGTGGATTTTAGAATATAACAAACAAAGACCAAGACTGATAGAGAATAGACTAGAATATGAATGTGAACTAGCAAAAATTTGACTGGCAAAGCTTCTATAGATATGTAAAAAGAAAATGTTTGGCTAAGACAACTTGGGGTGCATTGCATGTAAGATCAGGAGAATTTATGATGGGGGATAGAGAAGTAACAGAGAAGCTAATTCATTATTTGGTGTTTGTTTTCACTGAAGGAAGGCACAAGGAATCTTGCAGAATTAGAGGCCAAAAGGACGAGGATGAACGAGGAATTGAAGGAAATTAGTATTAGTAAGAAGGTATTGTTGGAGCAAGTAATGGAACTGAAGGTCGCTAAGTCCCCAGGGACTGATAGTTTACATCCAGGAGAGTTGAAAGGGCTAGCTGTGGAGATAGTGAATGTGTTGGTGATCATCTTTCAAAATTTTGTAGATTTGTGATTGGGCTCCTGCAGATTGAAAGGAAGCAAATGCCACACCACTGTTTAAGAAGGTGGGGAGGCAGGAGCTACAAAGCTGTTTGCCTTGCGTGAGTAGCAAAATTTCCTCAAAGCTGCGTAGTTGCACAGCCACTCGGAAGCCCCGTGCAAGTTGATTGTCATGGTGTTGAAAGATTTCTGCTTCTGGAATTCGCTACTGTGCAAGGATCTGGGAATTCCACACCCAAGGAAGAAAAATCAGTGAGAACATTGATCATTCGAAGGAAAAGTGATAGAATCTATTCTAAAGATTGTGATTAATGGACTCTTGGATAATAATGATCTGATTGGGCATAGTCGTCATGGATTTGAGAATGGGAAAGCATGTTTGACGAACCTTTGAGTGTTTTGAGGATGCTACTAACAGCATTGTGTACTAACAGAATTATGAAGGAAAATCAGTAGATGTATTTTACTTGATTTTCGGAATGCTTTTGATAAAATCACTCTCAGGAAACTGGTCAGCAAAATCCAAGCCATTGGGATAGGAGGTAATGTACTGATCTGGATTAAGGATTAAGAGTTAGAAAACAAAGAATAAACAGATCATTCTCATGTTGGCAGGCTGTGGCTATCACAAGAATCAAGTATTTGGCCCCCAGTTGTTCATGATGTACGTCAATGATTTGAATCTAGAGACCAAATGGAATATTTCCAAGCTCGTGAATGATAGACAGTTGGGGGGTGGGGGTGGGGGGGGGGGGGGGGGTTGGTTTTGGGAGGTGCAGGGGAATGAGTGTTCTGAGAAAGATGCAAATTGGCTTCGAGAGGGTTTAAATAGATTTAGTGGCCAAGAATGTGACAGATGGAATATATTGTGGCACAATGTGAGTTATTCACCTTGATAGAAGGAACAGATGTTCAGAGTATTTCTTAAATGGTAAGAGATTATAAAATATAGGTGCACAAAGGGACTTGGGTGTTCTTGTCTGTAAGTCAATGAAAGTTAACATGCAGATGTAGCAAGCAATTAGAAAGGCTAATGATACGTTAGCCTTTATTCCAAGGGGATTTGAGTACAGGAATAATAAAGTCTTGCTTCAATTGTATAGAACTTTGGTTAGACTGCACCTGGAATACTGTGTGTAGTTTTGGTCTTTTTACCTCAGGAAGGATATTATTGACATAGGAATGCAACAAAAGTTCATCAGACTTATTCTCGGGATGACGGGGCTGTCCTGTGAAGAGAGATTGAGCAAACTGGGCTTGTATTGTGCAGAGTCTTGAAGAATGAGAGGTGATCTCATTGAAACGTACAAAATACTGGAAGGGATAGACAGGGTGAATGCAGGTAAGGTGCTTCCCTGGTTGGGAAATCTAGAATCAGGGGGCACAATTTAAAAATAAGTGAATACTGTTTAATACTGAGATGAGAAATCTTTTTACAAATGGTTGTAAATCTTTGGAATTCTTTATCCCACAGGACTGTGGAAGCTCAGTCTTTGAGTATGTTTAAAGTAGAGATTGATAGATTTCTAATTACCAGTGACTTAAAGGGATGGAGGGGGGGATAGTGAGAGTGGAGAAAAAGCATTGGAATGGATGATGAACCATACTTACATTTAATGGCAGAACAGACTTGATAGGCTGCTGGTCTACTCCTGCTCCCATGCTTCTATGTTCGTAACTGTCTATTTGTTGTATCTAATTTTATACAGGTATATACATAAACTGGTGATTCAGTTGAGTTACTGTAATAGCCTCTGACTGAAACAATGGTTGTTGAGCTTGGAGGTTTATGCTTGTAAGATTTGATTCTGTATTTCATCATTTGCCTTTCTCGATTATAACAGATTCAACATGTAATCATGACCTGTTTCTTGACTTGCCTTTTACATGTAATGGCTCGTGTTCTATCAGTAGTCTTTAATTTCCAGCCTGATCTTGTTGATGCCCTTCTCTCCTCGCAGTGCCCTTAAGGACAGCCGCTTCCCCCCGCTGACTCGTGAGGAACTTCCCAAACTCTTCTGCTCTGTTTCGCTGCTGACTAATTTCGAAGATGCCAGTGATTACCTGGACTGGGAGGTAATGGAATTCCAGTTCAAACTTACCCTCATCTCTGAGGCTGAGGCAGGCGGGTGGGGAATTAAATGGGAAGTTTTTCCTCCTTTCCTCAAGTGCTGAGTAGTTCTAGAGTAGATGTCTTGGGATGCAGGAATCTTTCTGGAATCTGAACCATTTAAGCCAGGGCAGTGACTTTGGCATGTGATGGTAAAGTGTGTATTACAGCAGAGTTGGACTTTGTCCTTCTGATACCTGCCATGCGCACTCTGGAAGGGCCATTGCTGCATGAAAGCCCATTATCATTCTTAGAAATCAAACTAATTGGAAATCTGTAAAAACCTTTTCTAGGTTTCTGTTATCTCCCTTAGTGTGCAACTGTGCTGACAGAGATGTCTCCTACTTCTGACTCGGGGGTCACTGTTCATGTTTAATCAGCTGTATCTGCCTTGACTCAGTTGGATACTGTCTTGCCTCTGAATGGGAAGGTCATGTGCTCAAGCTCTGGTCCTGAGAATTGAACACACATTCCACGCTGATACTTCAGTGTGGTACTGAGGCGACATTGCTTTGTCAGAAATAGTGGGTAGTATTTGAAGAGCAGCTGGAAAATGCTCCCATCCTGGTTAATAGTCCTCTCCGTTAACACAATTCAAAATAAATTGTCTAATAATTTATTTTTATTGATTGTCGTTGGATCTTGCTGTGCACAAACTAACAACTGCCCTATGTACCAATGGTGACCATGTTTTAAAATTGGCTCTGAAGCATTTTGGAGCATCGGGAAGATGTGGAAGGTGCTCTACTGTCTTTTGATTAAAATTGCATGATCCATCTGTATGGAATGCTAGACAAC